TCTCCTGGCTCTTCAAACTCATCAACGAGCGCAAGGAGAAGACTGGCACACGCTTCTCTGTACGGGTGTCAGCTGTAGAGATCTATGGCAAGGACGAAAGTCTGCAGGACCTGCTTTCTGATGTTCCTACCGGCAGTTTGCAGGATGGCCAGTCTCCTGGAGTCTACCTGCGCGAAGACCCCATCTGTGGCACTCAGGTCAGTAACAAAATGTCAGCTCATTCATTCATTCATTTTCTTTTCGGTTTAGTCCCTTGATAAATCTGGGGTTGCCACAGCGGAATGAAATGCCAACTTATCCATGTTTTACGCAGTGGATACCCATCCAGCCGCAACCCATCACTGGGAAACATCCATACATACTCAATCACACACATATGCCACGGACAATTTTGTTTACCCAATTCTACACATGTCTTTGGGGGAAACTGGAGCACCCGGAGGAAACCCACGCAAACACAGAGAGAACATGCAAATTCCACACAGAAATGCCAGCCGAGACTCAAACCAGCGACCTTCCTGCTGTGAGGCGATTGTGCTACCCACTGCGCCACCGTAATGCCCCAATACATCAGGTGTCTTCTTTTTTTTTTCTTGGCAAAGCACTACTAGTTTTTATCTTTGATACATTCTTGTTATTAATATGTTATATATATATATATATATATATATATATATATATATATATATATATATATATATATATATATATAATTTATTTTTTATTTATTTTTTTTTTACATATTTTGTTGTATTTTTAATCTCTCTGCATTTTACAGATATGTGTAATTATCTTTATGCAGAGATGTAATTATCTTTTTGAATAAAACCATTAATTACTGATATATTATATATTAATAAACTCTAATAAAGCTAGGCTGGTTTGGTAAAAGTTTTATATATTCTAATATAAAAATTAAAGACCTAAATATATTGATATTATTTAATATATATTTTATTACATTTTTAAAATGTTCAATTAATAAAAAAATAAATAAGTAAATGAATTTAAAACAAAATGTTTATAATTATTTATATTAGAATTTGTTTTAAAAAATTATAATTTTTCATATGATTATTTTTTTATATAATTATTTCAAATAATTATTTTATTTCAACAAGTGTGCAGTTCAGTAAATAATTATATTACTTTTTATTACTTTTTTATTGTATTTATTATATTATATTATATTATATTATATTATATTATATTATATTATATTATATTATATTATATTATATTATATTATATTATATTATATTATATTATATTATATAAATTTCATATAATAGTTCATTTAGTTTTCAAGTACACCTCATTTCATAGTGGAATCTTTAGCAGAATACTTTTAGTTGAGTTTAATCACTAAATCTAAAATTAAAGGCCAGATGTTGTGGTGGTTCCTGTTTTACTCAGTGCTCCATCAGGATCCATCTGGGTGAGCTGCTGCTCAGTTACACCCTCCCCCCTCTTACCTTCCATTGGATGGGGGTAAAATTCAGGAGGGGGTAGGTAGAGTTTGGGGGTAGATGGAGGGTAGTTAAAAGCGCTGCCAGGTGTTGGCATCAGATGTTGTTTTTTTGGGGGTCCATATGAAGCAGCACATCAAAGGCTGCCTAGAGGCCTGTGAAGTTCAAATCTGGGGAGTGGGACTGTAGGCATTCTTCCCTTTCTTTAGTCTTTACACTGGTGTTAAAGAGTCATTTACTCACAGGTGGTCAGTGAGCACTGCAGTTAAGAGCTTTACTATTATCCTGAAGGAACCCGCTTCTGAAAAAAAGACAATTATTTGGTCAAATTTGCACAAACCCAATAGTTGGGTAACCCAAGTGTTGTACATATATTACCAAAAATTGAGTTGAATCAACAGGAGTTTTTAGGCTGTGCTTCCACTAGGGCACTTTGTTTTAAAACAGGCCTGTTTAATTTAAGGCCTTTGCACAACAAGACACTTTTTGCTCTTGCTTTTTGCTGACATTTAACTGCTCATGACTAAACAAAGAGTGCCAATGTGATTGTGCCAGCCTGATCTCACGAGAAAACGTAAGTATTTTACGCTTTGGCAGTTTAGTGGCTAATTCGTACGAATTCGTACGAGTTCAGTCGTAAGGAAATGTACGATTTTAAAAAGGAGGCGTGGCACCTAACCCCACCCCTAAACCCAACCGTCATTGGGGGATACGCAAATCGTACTAAAATGTATGAAATAGATCGTACGAATTTGTACGAATTAGCCACTAAATGAAAAAGTTACGAATTGCTGTGAGATTGTGTTGGATTGTGCACACCAACACACAAAACACCAGTGTATTAAAAAAAAAAAAAAAAAAAAACACAAGTTTTTTCTGTAAATGCGAGGTGCACTGCACTGCCTTTTTTGTTAACAAGTCAACATGTCGCTAGACAACAACTGAATCAGCTGTGTATTGTGCATGAGTGCTGCTGTTGAATTATTATAGTTGTAATATATTAAACAATATTATGATATTCATGATTTATGAAGTCATACAGCTTCGGATAAATCAAAACAGTGACCACAAGTCTTTCCTCCATGTAGTCTCTGTAGTCATCTTGACAACACAAACACTGCTAGCACCTCAATGGAAACCCTGCCTCTGCTTTCATTTGATTGGAGAATGAAAAAGACGTGACTGGCTTTTTAATTCTGAGAGATGACTTTTTGTTAACTGTGGGCACATAACGCATAACGCAAAACATGCGAAGTATGCATGGTGCAAAAGTACCATGCAAAATGCTTGCGTCATTAGAAAACCATTCAAAAGATGTGCCTCTCAACACAAAAACTTTATTCAGTGTGATCAGGGCCTAAAAGTGCATGATTTGCGACCAGTAATGCTCACTGTGCATGTACATATTTTGTATGGGCATCTATACGTGCAGTCTGCCACTTGTGTAACGGTGATACGAATCTGGGAATGATACATAATAGTCCAGAAGATCAGTCAGAGAGTGACTCTGGATAGCCACGCCTTCATTTCAGTCTATTTATTCTAAAGTGGAACACCAGCATTTTCAACAGCAAAGGGGTCTTTAGTGTTTTTGCAGAATTACATTTTCATAGGTAAAAGACCGAAACTAAACTAAACTAAACTAAACTAAACTAAACTAAACTAAACTAAACTAAACTAAACTAAACTAAACTAAACTAAACTAAAAACATAAGCGTAAATTGAAAAAAAATATTGTACTACTTAGTAATTTGTCACACTGAAGATATTTTAGCTTAAGTAATATAATCTAATACCATAAATACAACAGTGGCCCATTCCATTCAGACTAATTGCTTGTTTGCTCCAAGAAGACTATAAATATGCTGAATGCATGTTCCATCAGGCTCTTTTCAGAGGCAGACGCCTCACCCTCTGCCCTTTTTATCCATCCCTCACTCTCATCAGTAATCCTACTCTCTATATGGGTGTATTTGTTTCTCTGATTGCCCCAGAGATTTGATTTAATTGCCTAGAACTGTGTTAAGAGGCTCAGTTATCTCGACCTCCTTCTTTGTGAACTCCAACTGGAGATAACACACAAGACTCACTAGGATGATTGTTTTGCTACTGCATCAGACATTTAAAAATTTCATCTATTGGTTTATGCAGTTATAAGGGTTTTTCACACTTACTTTAACCCTGGTCCACTCTAAGGCCCCGTTTACACTAGTGCGTTTTAGTTTTAAAACGGTGTTTTAGAATGAAAACGATCCGCGTCCAGACCAGAGTTTTACCCAGCGTTTCTGATCAGAGAGGGTTTTGTATTTTCAATGAAATTGAAAGGAGGCAGTAATGTTATAGGCTTCCTTTTGTTATAAATATGCATACAGTGAAGATGACGCTCATATATGCAGCACGACGCCTCAACATTTCTGCTGTCTGTTAAGTTGTTAATATCAAAATTAAAATAGCATTTCCTTTATGTTTTTATTTTATTGTTAAGAAAGTGAAACAATGTAGCCAGGATGATGTGAATACGGTTGTACAGTACACTGTTTCCTTTGAAAATTTACCCGACATGTTCTCGGGAGTCTGTTTTCCATATTAAACTTGCTTAGTTTGAACTTACAAGAAGAGGATGCAGAACTTTAACTTTTTGTAGGTTACTTAATATTGAGGAAAAAGCCCCAATCATAGAGGCGAATGTCTGCAGCCCCGCCTTCGTTTTCAGATGTCTCCGTTTTCCCCCATCCACACTGAGACGGAGAAGCAGCCTTTTAGGATGAAAACGGCCTCTTCAGCGTTTTCAAAACGCTCCGTTTTCGGCGCTCGAAAACTCCGGCGTAGTGTGGACGGATGGCGTAACCGTAGCAAAACGTTTGCGTTTTCAAACTAAAACGCATTAGTGTAAACAGGGCCTAAATCCTAAAATGCAATGCTCAGTTCACACCCAATTACTCGCTCATTACTTGTGGGATGTTTTTCATGAGTTCTTCACTTTGTAAACTTGCATGGACGACGCATTTGTGGCTGTGGCATATTCATTGAAATTTGCCTCTATGGGCTTGTCTGTGTTGACTGTATTTAATCTTAATGAGTGTCAGAAAATCAAACAAATACACACTGTATCTGAAAATCCATGATGTCTTTTTATTCTCTTTTTTTTACCTCATTTCTTTTTTACTTTCGTTTTGCCTCACTCACATACATCTCCTATCTTAAGCTCCCTCTAGAAGTTTACTCAAAATACCACATATCTACTCCCGTGAATGCCTAAATTTACATTTGGTATGATAACTTGGTTATCCCACTCGATGTTTCATACTGTTTATAATACATCCAGGGTAAATAGACCCTGACATACTGTACATTGTCATACATGATATTTTACACTGTAAGCTATTGAAACATGACAGCATATTTATTTGCATATTTGTAGAGTCAGTGTAATTGATTGGATGAACACAGCATGCGACTTGTGATGAAGATGAAACCGTTGTGGACATTTCAGTGAGAGAATGATTCTAATGACATTATAGGCTTCCTTTTGTTATAAATATGCATACAGTGAAGATGACGCTCATATATGCAGCACAACGCCTCAACATTTCTGCTGTCTGTTAAGTTGTTAATATCAAAATTAAAATAGCAGTTCCTTCATGTTTTTATTTAAGTTCATTTAAGTTCATTTAATTTCATTAAATGAAACTTTCTATTGGTGTTAGAAAAAGAATATAAAGCTAATAAAATGGCCCAACCCGACCACCTGATCTGAATCCAAATAAGAACTAAAAGTCACAGTTCACAGATGAGACCACATCATTGTTTTACCCAAATCTGGGTCAATTTCTTGTCAACAGCTCCTTTAGAAATGTATTTTCCAGGAAAAATCATGATATGTTCAATACTTGTTTAACCCCCGACCCCCCAACCCCCAATTTCTACCTAATTTCATGATTATAACTGAGAATCATTACTTACTTTCATGATTGTATACTGTAAATACTGTATACTTCATCCCCTCTCCTAAATTCTACACTTTAACAGAACCTTCATAGAAAATCAACATTTTTTACATTCTAAAATACATGCTATATGGTTTATAAGCTGTTTTCCTTCCTTTGCAAAAAATGTCCTCATGAGGGAGGGCAAGAATGATTGCTTTTACCAGAGGCATTTTGTCCCCATGACATAAGAGACATACACTTAAACATTGTTTCCATCTTATAGCTCCAGAACCAGTGTGAATTAAGGGCTCCCACTGCAGAGAAGGCCGCACTCTTTCTCGACGCCGCCATCGCTGCCCGTAGCACCAACCATCCGGATGCTGATGAAGAAGATCGTCGCAATTCACACATGCTGTTCACCTTACACATCTACCAGTATCGCATGGAAAAAAGCGGCAAGGGTGGAAGTAAGTGTTGTGTGTTCAATACTGCTATGTTGATGAAGACTGTGAATGTACTAAATCGATTATACTCAGTCTAGTCTAATTCCGTCTCCTCCTCCTCCTCCGCATTTTTCCAGTGGAATGCAAAACACATCTCAAGCTTATTAATCTAATAGCTGTGATATTACAGGCCAAATCAGAGAGTTACCAGAACCCCTTCAATTTGCCTCTCGCTCCATCATGGTAGGAGGGGAATCAATCATGTCTGCTTTGACCACTTCATTAAACTTTAATGGGGATTTTAAGAGATGGTAATAATTCATGAGCAGCTAACAGCTCTAATTGTGGTATAGAGGATCCTGTCACTTTGCCATCACAGTGCTAATTTGCATAGGTAAATACAGTGTTGGTCAATGTATAATAATGGAGGTGTCTTTTAATGGCTTCATCAAACCTACCGATATTAAAAGCGGCAACAGAAAGCAGACAAAATAAAAGGGGTAGGTTACTGCTATTCACAAATGTAATAATAGTACTTAAAGGTCTAACATTTCATGTGTAATAACATAATGTGTCCTTTTTTATGATTTTGCGTGAAGTAAAATGATTGTGATTCCACCATGAATGAAGATCTTGTGTTTTATTCTGGTATATACTGTATACATAGCATTTGTTATTTTTAGTAATCAGTATGTTACCATCCACATGTTTTTATGAACATTTTGGGATATCTTAAAAAAATTTCATAGATTTGGCAAGGTAAATCTGAAAACGGGCATTAAAAAGCTCTCTCATTGATCATGTCATGTGAAAATTCTTCTAACCACCAGTCCAATGTACACTATCTCAAATGTTGTTGTAATAATTCTGAATGTCCATCATGGAAATGCTTTGGTTACATAAGCCCTTAACTATCACATGATCCCATTTCCAAACATCTGCCAAAAAAAAGACACAAGCTGCATCAGTTGCAGTTATCCCCATTTTAAAAAAAGTTCAAACTTTATGCTATAGTTTTGCAGGAAGTGACAATTTTGTTCACTCAAAATATGATTTTCCATACAAGTTAAACTCTCAACTTTCGATGAAATCATGTCTATTTGGTTTGTATGGTTGTCATAAAGCATCATTTACTATAGTGTTTCAAGAAGCATATTTTATTAAGTCAGAAAAAAAAAAAAAAAAAATTAAATGAACGATTACTTTTTATATTATTAAAGATTTAGAATGCCAGTCAAGCATTAGTAATAATAGAAGTCTTTTTTTAAAAAAATAATAAAAAATAATAAAGTAAAATTAAATAATGAAATGTAATAAATTAAAATAAATTAAATAAATAAAACAAAAATTATATAAAATAATTATATAAAATAATTAAAAAATATATTTTATTAATTTAAATTAAATTATAAAAAAAAAATAAATAAACATTTTTATTTAATTCATAAAATAAAATAAAATAAAATAAAATAAAATAAAATAAAATAAAATAAAATAAAATAAAATAAGGGCAACGTGGTGGCGCAGTAAGTAGTGCTGTCGCCTTACATCAAGAATAAAAAAAAAATATTTAATTTAATTAATAAATATTAAAAATAGTATAAAATAAATGTTATGTAAATATATATATATATATATATATATATATATATATATATATATATATATATATATATATATATATATATATATATATATATATATAACAAATAGTATAGAAAATTATGAATAATTATAAAATAAAATAATAAATAAATAAATAAATAAATAAATAAATAAATAAATAAATAAATAAATAAATAAATAAATAAATAAATAAATAAATAAATAAATAAATTAAATTGTATAAAAATACAAATAAAATAAATTAAAATAAGGCTGGGTCAGTTGGCATTTCATGTTCTTCCTGTGTTCGCGTGGGTTTCCTATGGGTGCTCTGGTTTCCCCCTCAAGTCCAAAGACATATGGTATAGGTGAATTAGGTAAGCTAAAATTGTCCGTAGTGTATGTGCGTGAATGAGAGTGTATGAGTAATTAAACATGTGCTGGATAAGTTGCCGTTTAATTCCAATGTGGCAAGCCCTGATGAATATGATGAGGGACTAAGCCGAAAAGTAAATGAATGAATGGATAAAAATTAAATAAATAAATAAATAAATATATAAATAAATAAATCCCATATAAATGTGGAACAAGTTACTAAATTACAATATTCTAAATTACGTAATAATAAATTGAAGATGTTTAATCATTTTACATTGCATATTCATCGTCATTTGCCAGACATAATCATTGGGATTGGTATGCATTAGTGCCTTTTGCCACTCCACATTTACATAAACAATGTTTCATACCCAAAGGACAAGAAAAAAAAAGAGTAGTCAGCACATCACTGAGACTCACGTGTGTATTTATGCCTCACATTGAGTGTAGTATGAATGTAGGTGTTTAACTACGCCGGCTTGTTCCGTTTTTGAGTCATAGCGAGCTGCGTAACTTACTCATGAATAAATCACACACAGTCTTGTCAGCCGCCAGTCTTCTCTTGGGGTGTTTATTAATATGTCTGCATTTGCCACTCCTCACTCTGCCCGACACTACCTCAGTGTGGGAGGGTCATCAGCGTGGTATAACTGTGCCGGCAGCATCTTAAACTGTCAGTGGTATCAGTAATGATTGGGACTGGCCGTAAATTTGTATCTCTGAATTCAAGGGCTAAGCTGGATGTATTTTTACCCGAATGAGACAATTTCCACTCAAATCTGGTCAAGTCTGCAAATAAAAAACTTTGGAACTCTATAATGTAAGTAGTTTATTTGCAACAAATTTTGGGAATTAACTAATCGTCATTTATTTTTTTAAATGATTGACTTTAAATGTTTATGTTTTACTAATAGTTTGTGTATAGTGACATATACAAGTGGTGTCAGCATGACTATTAATGAATGTAAATTGCTAGATCAAAGCAGAGCACATGTGAAACTGAGCTGGAATTTCAGTTGTCTAATGACAGTAAATTGGTGCCAGTTGTGGCGTGGGACCCCAGAGACCACCTCTCATTTTATCTCTCGCTTTTTTCTTTCTCTAGTGTCTGGTGGTAGAAGCAGACTGCATCTGATTGACTTGGGTAGCTGTGAGAAGGTGCTCTGTAAAAGCAGGGATGCAGGTGGAGGTCTGTGTTTGTCTCTAACCGCGTTAGGAAACGTCATCCTGGCTTTGGCCAATGGTGCAAAACATGTTCCATACAGGTAAGAAATTGTAAATCATGTAAGAAAATGGGTCCTGTTGTTCAAAGTGTGTAGATGTGGTGTTAGCATGAACACTCAGTAATAAAGGTACGCAAGCTGTCACTGGGGTAGTACCTTTTCAAAAGGTACACATTTGTGCTTAAAGGGTCCATATTGTTACCTTAAAAGCATATACAAGTAGCTAAAAATGTAAGAGGAACACTTTTGTACTTTTTAGGTACTAATATGTACCCTTGAGGTATTAATAAGGACCTTTTACGTCCAAATGTGTTCCTTTTGAGAAGATACCCCAACGACAGCTTATGTACCTTTACTTCTGAGAATGTAGTAGTACTATGTCTACCGGTAGGCAGTGTAGAATAAAGTGTAATACTGCAAAGAAAGTTGCAGAATGTGCATGCCAATTTGATATGTAAGATAAGGCTGAGATCTGTTGTGCTTCAATAGATGTAATACTGAAGCATTTGAAAAGATAATCAAAGATGCCAACAACAAGCTTGTACTTGTGATTTTTCTGTTGACAGGTTTATTGCTTGACTGATGCACTGCTGTTTATCTGTATTTTGCTGAGCTCATGGATGATGAGCTCATAGATTATGCATCTCTTTTAAAGAAAACTGAAAAAAAAATCATATCTAGTCAAGACTACATATGCGCGATTGCTCTCAATTTCACAAGCTATGCACATTTAGCAGAATTGCAATTTCTGTAGCCATTGTGATTAATATCAAGGCAGGGGTGTACAGTGAACCTTTCGATGGTTCTGCACTTTTAGAGAACAGTTAACTGCCAGACTCCCACCGCATTTGAGTAAACACCTCACTTTCTGCTGACAATCTATCAGCCTGTGTTTATGCTGACATTGAAAATGTATTTTTTTCCAGGGATAGCAAGCTCACAATGTTACTGCGAGACTCTCTGGGGAACATCAACTGCAGGACAACAATGATTGCCCACATCTCTGACTCCCCTGCCAATTATGCAGAGTCCCTTACCACCATTCAGCTGGCCTCCAGAATCCACCGTATGAGGAAAAAGAAATCAAAGGTACAGTTTTAACTGGCTAGATTCAAGAACACACATGAAATGATAACTGTTTATTGGAGGGCCAGATTCAAACGTAATTAGCTGAGAACAGAAATACTTTGAAAGAAATAATGATTAAGTTTTAAATTGTCTTAAAAAAGGACACATGGTGAATTGCTTACGAGTTATTGAAAACACCTTATAATTTGGCAATTTGTAATGTTATGTTAGGCTTTATGAAATATTTGCCCAAAGAGTACAGTTAATGTGTCTGATAAGAGTCCCAGAGTTAGTTTTTAAATGTTGTTTTGCTGTTGTTTAGTATGCATCCAGTTCTTCTGGAGGGGAGAGTTCCTGTGATGAAGGAAGAATTCGTCGACCACCACATTTGCGACCCTTCCATCCACGGACTGTGGCCCTTGACCCAGATCTACCATCATTTCTCAGTGATCCTGACTATTCTTCAAGCAGCGAGCAGTCGTGTGACACTGTAATTTATGTTGGCCCTGGTGGTGCCGCCATCTCTGATCGAGAACTCAGCGACAACGAAGGACCCCCAGCCTTTGTTCCCATTATCCCCTCTCTTAACCGTAAGCAACGAGGAAAGGATGGACCAGTTGACCGCGATCACTTCAAGTGTAACACCTTTGCAGAACTTCAAGAGCGGCTGGAATGTATCGATGGTAGTGAGGAACCTACAGCCTTTGTTGTGGAATCTGGAGAAAATTCTGGAAGCTCGAAAATGGACCATAGTGCAAACAAGTTGAAAGAAGGCTCAAGTTGCATTTCGGTTTCTCCCAAGACTCCTACCAAAGTGCTTTCATCAACACAGGACAGCATATCCAAAAAGTCTATTTCTGTAACCAGTAAACTTCCCAGCAGTCCAAAACACAAATCCAAATTAGAACATTCCAAACTGCAAAGTGCCGCATCAGACAAAGATCTCAGAGACATGTGTGAGAATGTATGTAGGACAAGTGCAGATGGTGAAAAGGTGCAAATGTCAGAGAGTGGATCTCTATGCACTACAGGAAAACAAAGTAAAACAATAATATCCCAAAATTCAGAGCCTGTGGTTAGGGAAAAGGTTTTTTTCAATAAAAAGCTTCCCAAGCCTGCTCCCCCACCACCACAACAAAGAGACTATGTCACGGTTGGTAGTGAAACTGAAGAAAAGTCAGCCACAAGGGTACCCCCAATTGGGATGAGCCATCAAAAAAGAGGTGACTCAATTGGCAACTCAGCTGTCAAGGTCCATCACCTTAATCCCAGGACTCCTGGGGAAATGAGGTCCAATCTTAGAGAGAGGTGCATGGAGAAGGACATATTGAGGACAACTGTAACCCTTAAACAGCCAGTGGAACTAAATGGTGAAGATGAGCTTGTATTCACTCTTGTGGAAGAGTTATCAATTGGCAGCATTGTGGACAGTGGGAGGCCCTCCAGCATTGTGAGTTTTAATAGTGATTGCTCATTACAGGCCCTTGCTTCAGGATCTCGACCAGTAAGCATTATTAGCAGTATCAATGATGAATTTGATGCTTATACGTGCAGTGTTGGTAACTCAGAGGCAAATGTTAAAATAGGGGCACCCTTACAGGAGAAAACATTTGCTTCACTGGGTAGCCGTGGGTCTTCTATCACTTCATGGCTCAGTGAGGTAAGCGTCTGCACTCTGGAGAGTGATGGTGCCCAATCAGCAGATGTCTTTCTCCCTCAAGGTACTAATACTGGCCCAGACAGCAATTTCTACTTTGATTCTCTAAATATGTTCCAAAGCAGTACACAAAAGGAACCCAAAAACTCTTTAAATGACAGTGGCTGTAGCTTCTCAGATTTAGAGAGTGATAGTGCTATATCAAGCAAGCTCTCTCTAAACAAGTGCCCATCCTCTCCAGAAGCCCCACAGTTGACTGTAAAAAATTTCCCAAAACTAGAAAAAGCAAATACCATTCATATATCTGATACCCAGTCTTTTCAAGATTCTCAAGCTGTCCAGTTTGGTCTTTCCAGGAAAATTAAACCTACCTCATCCATAGCCCAGAGTAGCAGTATAAGTGGAAGCAGCTCCAGTAGCAACTGGAGACGTGAACCTCTTAGGCAAGACTGCATACCAGATCCATGGCACAGAGGAGAAAGTTTGATGGACACCTCTATAATCTCTAATTCAGGTTCATCCTCCAGACTGGTTAAAAATGGAATGAGTGGAATTCCTGCAAGAAAAGCAGGTACAAGCAGCAACAGCATACCTCGAATCCCTAAAACACTCGGACCAAACTCATCCCAAAGGGTGGTGGATGGATGTGAAAAATCTTGCAACAGTCGGAAAATTGAGCCCCCAAGCAAGATGCCGCAACTCAGACGAGGTGCAACAACATTAGGGACAGTCCCAGTTATCCATTCATCAATTGATGTCAAGCTTGCTCAAGAAATTGTTTCCTCGATGGGTAGTTTGAAATTCTCCTCTTTAGGAAAAAGTGGAAAAGCTAATAAGCAGGAAGAGACTATGTCAAAACCTGGCAACGTCTCACCACCTCTTCCTCCAGTTCGCAAATCCAGTTTGGATCAAAAAAATCGAATCCTGTTTCCCTCAAGTGCCTTAAAGTCTGCTTATGATGCAGGAAAGTCTTTAGCACCAAGGGCTGCAGGTTTAGAGTTAGATATTGAAGTTTCCTCTAGAGGTGATTCAAATAGTTTACGGGCGTCTAACTTAAAGTTAGAACATAGTTTGATGAAAACAACTTCCAGTCTCAAAGCTCGAGGAGCTAGAGGTGATACAGGACAGCTTCATGGGAGCCAGATATCTCTAGAAAGATGTGACAGTTTGTCATCGTTGGGTTCTAAACCTGCCCTTAGTCGGGAGAATAGTGGTGCTAGTCTCAATAGCAAGTCAAGCAAGTCTATTAGTAGATTTGGGTCACCTGTTGCCACCTCTTCACCAACTACTACCTCTTCACCTTCTTGTGTAAACCAAGTAGCCTCTTTAAAAAGTGGGATGGTCAAAGGTAGTCTTAATGCAAGATCAGTACCTGTTAATGCAAACAAAGCTCGTACCTTATCTGCAAGCAACTCAAAAGCTTTGAGCTCCTCCACCAAGTCTCTTGCAGCACCTACAACAAGGAATGCCAACCTTCCACCTTCAGGAAAGACTGCATTACCTCGAGCAGCAGCAGCAGCATCATCAGTAGCAGCAGCAGGAGGCACTGGCAAATCCACAAGAGGAACTATAATGGGTACCAAGCAAGCAATGCGGGCTGCAAACAGTCGTGTCAGTGAGTTGGCATTAGCCAATCCTTCCACTAAACAAACAAGGGGTTCAGGTGATTCTGACAGTGGCAATGACAGTGGAGTGGCCCTCAATGAAGACAAGCATACCCCAATCCCCATTCTTCCATCTCCATATAGTAAGATCACAGCCCCCAGAAGACCTCAGCGCTACAGCAGTGGACATGGAAGTGATAACAGTAGTGTCCTAAGTGGAGAGCTGCCTCCTGCCATGGGACGAACTGCACTGTTCTACCACAGTGGAGGGAGCAGTGGATATGAAAGCATGATTCGTGACAGTGAGGCTACTGGCAGTGCGTCTTCAGCCCATGACTCAATGAGTGAGAGTGGGATGTCCTCCTCTGGTCGCACAAGAAGCTCCAAAGTACCCAAGAAGAGGTCAAATGGTAAGTATTATGCTTTTTTTTATGAATAATCTGTTGATTCTATGATTGCTTTTGAATTGTGTTCAGTGCTTATAACTTCATAACTTCTTTGGTCTGGTTCTCAAAGGAGCACCTAGAGATGTTGCTTGATCTGAAATATATGCTGTATATATGTCATATGTTTTCTAGCTTAGAAATCTTACCATGAACTTTCATATATTGTTGTGTCTGACATTTCTATATGCGGAACCGTCCGCAATCCGTCTGGCATCCATCTGCCTTCACATTTATCTCGATTGCTTGGCTCACATCCCATAGCCTTCAATTTGAACTTTGGACTCGGGTTTGAATCGCAGGTGCTATTGCAAGTCTTTCTGTGCACACAGAGACCAGCTTTATTTTGTATTTTTTCTCTAAACCACAAGCATGAAAATATTTATGAGCCTATGTCCCTATGCAAAACTGCATACCATTTATGTGCACCCCTGCTTATAGTATCTGCACACAGTTTAACTTTTATTTATCTCACATTTTTACAATGTCTCTCCATGAACCAGGCCTCCAGAGGCGACGTCTCATCCCAGCTCCTTTACCAGACACCTCATCTCTGGGGAAGACTGGGACCACAGGTCAGTGGGTGGACCTTCCCCCTATGTCCGGACCATTGAAAGAGCCGTTTGAGATCAAAGTGTATGAAATTGATGACGTGGAGCGGCTTCAGCGCAGAAGACAAGAGAAGACAGATGAGGTTAGAATGAGTGTCTGGGTATTGCTCGTACAATGAGATCTAGTTCAGTGCTTTTAAACAAAATTTGAGTATTTTTTCGTGGCAAAGAAAATATGCTTATACAATCTTACAGAGGAAAATGTTTAATATAAATTGATGAATGACAAAGTAAGAGATGTCACAGCCTAATATATTTCTCGGAACTAGCTTCTATAAGAATTGCTTTACCTGAAGGCTGATTTATACTTCCGCATCGAGTGATTGGCGTGACCCACGACGCCTGCCTTGCGCATAGTTGTACATTTAGGCCCAATCCTGATTCTATTTTTATACCCCTACCCCTTCCCCATCCCCTTGGCCCTTAAAACTGAGTGTAAATGCGAAGGGCTTTAAAATTTACCCCTAATGAATGGGACAGCACTACAACACCGGCACACATTTTCATATGTCTTGCTTCCTTTGAGATCAGACGATCGCAACTACTTTAATTTTTACAGTTGCATTATTTTTTGGTATTTATCTTAAATATATCACTGAAGGCATATATTATGTTATCATAACAATCTAATGTTGCAATAAGATCGTTACTAAACTGTGCATTTACACAGTGGCCATATTCATCTATTTAAACACACAAAAAACAACATTAACATTATAGCAGACTTTGTAAAAGGTCATTCCCAGCCACTAGACTTTTCTGACAGGGTATTTGAGCATCATCGAGTGTCTGAATGTTGTGGGACTGCTGTACCGGAGATATGTTTATGGATTATAGATAGGGAAATTTAGCGTTTTTTAATTAATTTAGTTTTTTTTTTTTTTTTTTTAAAGCATGACTGTAAAACACAAATGTGGTTTTGAATATATTAAAACATGTGCTTGTTTGTTGTAAAAATTCGTAATAATGAAAAAAAATGCTAATTTGTGGATCTCCTTACTTCCGGGTGCAATTATCCTGCTGTCGTAGATGGTGTATTCTGTGAAAATTTCTTACTCCTTGGTTTTGAGTGTGGTCCTGAAAAAAACTTTGTTCGAAGGGCTAATCTACCCCTTGCCCATAGCCCTACGCCTTCAAGCTAAAGACAATTGGGACACCCCAACCCCTTAACAGAAATGTGCAAAACGTTGGGTAGGGGTAAAGGGAAGGGCTAAAGGGTAGAATTGGGATTGGGGCTTAAAGTGCTGTTGCTTTGCAATAACACTAGAAACGCTAGCTGACAGTAGGTTTTTATGTTCCTCTGTGTCGAGTTTCATCTTAGGTAGCTAACATGTAGCTAAAACTTAGAAACAACTTTAATCATAAACGTAAATGCAAAACAAAAGTTTCCATCTGGAGCTCCTTCATGGGACTCGACACTTGTAAACACTCGCTCCATCGAACTCGCAGTTCTCAGCACCACCCACGCTTGTCACCGGTACCAAGCCAACCAATCACAATGCTTGCGCTATGCATCGTTGCAACATGTAGTTACATTTTTTGAGAGGCTATGCAGACCATACGCATACGCTTGACGCAGAAGTATACATCAGCTTTAATATCAATAGTAATATGATTCATGTATCATATTCAAACTCAAGACACTGACCAAAGGTTTTGGCAATTTTTTTTTTATTTAAAAAGTATTTTAAATAATGTATAGCTAAGGGCATTAACCCTCTTTATGCTGAAAAAGATTAGATCGAAAATGGAACATGGTATTTTTTTTTCAATCATTGAATCAGAAGCTTGACATTCAAAAATAGTTTCAAGAAGATAATCCTCGATTTGTCTATCAGAGATTTTAAAGCCAAATAGTATTGCAAAGGACAGTGGCTTACCAAGAGTCACATGCCTTCTATAGCATTAGTGCATAGGGGTGTTTATCCAGTCACAGGGGTATTATAGTATTACTGGATAATAGTAATTCATGCATTACTTACCCTCTTCTTAGTATCCATTGTGACATTCTTTGTTTCAGCAGTCAGTTCAGGCTGTTGAGACGGTGTGCTGGATAATTGGCATGAATGTAACTCGATTGTATAAGTGAAGCAGACTGTAACACGAGGAAGCTTGTATTCTTTCATTACAATTCCTGGAAAACATCACATCATTGTTGTAGTTATGTATCCCATGGTTCCTTTGTGCAGCAAATGTCAATGTCAATTGCAATCAAACATTTGTGGCATGAATAATATATTATCCAAAGCAACAAGTGAGGATAAAAGAAGAACTTTAAACTATCAGAGAGTAGCAGTATATTAATGCTACGTTTGATGTAGTTTAAGTATTAATTTTTTATCAATCTCTTCCCATGGAAAGAGGGAGCAAATGGGAAGGAGAGCATGTGTTGTAGAAGTGATGTGTCAAGCACACTCAGTATTGCACAATGATTCCAAGAAGTAAGGAGTGCTCATAAAAAGAAGTACTTATAAGAAATATGTAGTATATTTTCAAATACATTGAGTGTTGATAAGAAAGTGTCTGGTGCAAACGGAGAAGAGAAAGGTTGTCACCATAATGTCCATTTTTAAACCAAAACATATATCTTTTGTCCACAGGGCCTGATGTATTTTAGCACGAAAATGAAGGTTCTTGAGAAACGACAACAGCAAATCAGAGATCTCAGAGCCAAGCATAAGACTCTGAAAGAAGAGCTGGACGACACCAAGTCTAGACTAATGATGGATCCCAGCAAGTGGACAGGAGAGTGTAAGTATTTACCATCTTGCTAGCTTGGCGACACTGGATTTACCTGACAACTTTCCTTTTCTTCGCAACAATAACCATGTTCTGGTTTGTTTTGCAGTTGAGGTGGATCAGGATTTGGATCAGGAGTCGCAGGAGTACCTGGAGGCATTGGAGCAGGCTACAGCTGATCTGGAATACTGTGTCAACCTATGCAAGTCCCGCGTCATGATGGTGACCTGCTTTGATATACGGGTTTCATCTGACGTGCAGGAAGGACCGCGAGAGGTGGAGGTTTAAGAACGAGATGTGGTGATCGATGGAGTGCAAGAAAGAGATGGAAGTAAGACAGGACCCTGGATGTCTGAAAGGAAGGATAATGAAATGTAGCAGCCGGTCCAGCGATTCCGAGAAATCCTATTAATAGGATGGAAAACTGAAATCTGCATGAAGTAGGAACTTGTGGTCTCCTGGAGAAGAGAAAACTGTTCTGGTTATATGCAGTGCCTCATAACAAACGTGGAATAGACTTACTCGAATGGAAAGCCAACGAGCTTTGATGCGTTTGACGCAGTTCCTTACCCAAGGAAAGAGAAGAATCATTCTTGCTTACCGAAGAGTTATTCAACAACACCGCAAAGTGCCTTTTTCATATGACTCTTTTGTACATTTGCTGTCAATCATTATTTTTTCTACTGGTGCTAGTGCTAAGACCAGCATACCCAAGCCAAACCATATTTTGGATTTATTTTATTGCATTGTATAGCATATTTATAGTGTGAGATATCATTTTGGGTGCGGAAGGAGAGCAATAAGCTGACTTTCCACACTCCGCCTTTGCCTCCGAAACTATCACATCTGTCAGCATATTGTTATTAAACCTTTTGAGCCTTATGTTGTACTTGTACTGTGTTGTCTGAGTGTTTTTTCTATCTTTCGAATCGAATATCTGTCTTTTTGAAGAACACAGTATCACTCAGCAATGGGCAGGCCTACTGTATGTGACACAAATCTGTTTTCATAAAAGTGTTTGGTTGGTTGCCTTCTCTCCTCAAAACTGGACTTGAAATGAATGCATATCTAACTTTAACATGTTTAGGTCCCAGAGAATCGTGTTGAATTGAATTGGTACTACATTTGCTAAGCCACAATGAATGTATATTATAACGAATGACAACAAATTCCCAAGAATGTAAAATCGCAAGCATCATTAATGGTTCGTATCACTTTAATAAATGCAAGTCGGTGTCATTGTTATGCTAGCGTGTTGCTAGAGAGGTGCAATCTATTAAAATGCAGATTGTCCTCTTGTTCTTGTTTACTTTAAATAGATACTTTGGCAAAGGGCATTCATCAGTGTAACCTGACATGTCTAACTCAGCCTTTCTCTGTGGACACAGCGTGTGCTGCATTAAAGAGCTGTGGGTGTGATTAAAGAGGGGTGGAGGTGACATTTGTGCGGTACAGGAAGGACTCTTTCCCATATTCGTTCAGACAACAGCGTCTTAAAAGTAGCCATAAAACTATCTGATGAGATTTTAAACACTGTGGACCGCTCAATGGCACATCTGATGCTAATACACACTTTTTATAGACTTAAAGATCGGCAGACTGTCATAAAAATCCATGTACGGATGCATTGTAGGTCCGACTACACTGTGGATGTTTATCCAAGCCTTAGTCCTATGCATCCAACAACCTCAACAAATGCAACTGCAAGCATTTAGTACACATGACTGTCAAATCTGTATTTTTCAGCGCTCGGTGTGTTGTTTAATAACTGCTGTAAAAGACCACCTGCATTTCTCTGATGTCAAATACACCTTCATAAAACATGTAGCTGCCAAAATGACTTTCCTGTTACTTGTCCATCAAAGGCTGCGAATGACCTTTAGCTTTCATTCCACATTTACTCTAAGGAAACAGAAACCTTTTCTTGGATTTATTTACCTTTATAAACACACTCTCAGGCCCCTTTTCAAGATGCTGCATGAAATTTGTATTTTTTTCTAGACTTTATTCTTTATCATCTTTCGGATTTTGTAACGATTATGCTGGCATTCGCTATACTTTAAGAACATGGAATAAACACCAAACCGAAATTTGTTTTCGAATGAAAGTTGACAATGTATGTTGCGTCATGTTTCATATCAAATCATATTTTCTAACCTTTTATTGATTTTGTAAAGAATTTTCTGATCCTCTGTATAAATGTATTATATGGCAGCTTGGGATAACACTGTTTTTTTTTTTTCTCTCTTGTGAATAAAAATGTTCTTATTCTATTGGTTTGTCGATTTCTTTTAAACCTGTCTCTATATTGTATCTCTGAGTGTATACACTCACCGGCCACTTTATTAGGTACACATTACTAGTACCGGGTTGGTACTTTTGCCTTCAAAACCGCCTTAATCCTTCAGGACATGAAACCTGAGATTTTGGTCCATATTGACATGATAGCATCACACAGTTGCTGCAGATTTGTTGGCTGCACATCCATGATGCAAATCTCCCATTCCACCACATCCTAAAGGTGCTCTATTAGATTGAGATCTGGTGATTGTGGAGGCCATTTGAGTACAGTGAACTTATTGCCATGTTCAAGAAACCAGTCTGAGATGATTTCCGCTTTATGACATGGTGCGTTATCCTACTAGAAAAAGCCATCAGAAGATGGGTACACTGTGGTCATAAAGGGATGGACATGGTCAACAACAATACTCAGGTAGGCTGTGGTATCGGCACAATGCTCAGTTGGTACTAACGGCCCAAAGTGTGTCAAGAAATTATCCCCCACACCATTAAACCAACACCACCATCCTGATCCACTGATACAAGGCAGGATGGATTCGTGCTTTTATATTGTTGATGCCAAATTCTGACTCTAACTTCAGAGATGCTCTTCTGAATACCTTAATTGTAACTGGTGATTATTTTGAGTTAATGGTGCCTTTCTATCAGCTCAAACTAGTCTGGCCATTCTCCTCTGACCTTTGGCATCAACAAGGCATTCTCGCCCATAGAACTGCCACTCACTGGATACAATTCTCTGTAAACCCTAAAGATGGTTATGCAAGAAAATCCCAGTAGATCAGCAGTTTCTGAAATACTTTCACATTCATACCATTTCACATTCAAAGTCACCTAAATCACCGCATACTTCCATACTATATAGTATGCTAAAATCAGTATGCGAGCCGAGTAGTATGTCCGAATTCATAGAATTCGAAAATCAGTAGGCGAGAAGTACCCGGTTGACTTACTACTTCTGTCGAGATTCTGAAGTGCGCATCCCATGCACGCTGCGCTATTCCATTATGCCCCGGGAGAGAATTCATGAATGTAAGTGAGGCGACGCAACTGAAGCAGGTTGGTCACGTGACCATGACAAAATGGCGGATGTAGTACGTCCGAATTCCATTCATACTTTTCACATTCATACTGTATAGAACGTACTTTTCTGACGGCCGAGTAGTACGTTTAAATTCAAATGCAGTACCTACTGAGTAGTAGGCAGTTTCGGACGCAGCGCATGTCTACATGCCTAAATGCATTGAGTTGCTGCCATGTGATTGGCTGATTAGAAATTTGCGTTGACACAGGTGCACCTAATAAAGTGGACGGTGAGTGTATCTATTAATTAGATTAAGGGTTTTTTTTGGTATGTGCTACATATCTACTTACTATATATATATATATATCTGAGAATAAAACATATTGGTCACACTTAATTTTAAGGTGAATTCCTTTCTAATGACTGTATCCTTTAGCTCAATAAACTTCTAATTTGCTTCGTATTAATAGTTATTACGGTTTAATGTAGGTATGTAGAATAAGACCATGCAGAATATGTATGAATTAATTAGTAATAAAGAGCCAATATCTTAAAAATAGGCAGGAAAGGATAATAGGGAGTGAGTAATAGTGAGTCCCTATGCTAAAGTGTTACCAATATATTATTTTTTAGTTAAAATGTTGACAAAAGCGTCTCACCAGTTAATTAGGAAATAGTGTCAACAGTCACAAGCAGCATAACTTTTACAGTGTCTAAGGCTACGTCTACACCGCAGGTGTCAAACTCAGTTCCTGGAGGACCACAGCTCTGCACAGTTTAGCTTAACCCTAATTAAACGCACCTGATCAAATTAATTAAGTCCTTCAGGCTTGTTTGAAACCTACAGATAAGTGTGTTGGAGTAGGGTTGGAACTACACTGCGCAGGGCTGCAGCCCTCCAGGAACTTAGTTTGACACCTCTGATCTACACTAAGCCACATTTTAATTGTCTAAAAACACTCTGTCTACTTGTTTCAACTCTTTCCGAAAAAAATAATCATTCACACTAAAATGACTGAAAACACTTTTGCTCATGTACATGCATGCACACAGAAGTAAGAAGCTTTTACATGTGTCATCCCTGCCTGGCGTTTCCTTACTTTCCATCTCTTCGAAACATTGTGTCAAAATGTCACAACTCTCTGCCGCTGAACAACAGCTCCTACTAAACATTCCATTGTTGGGCAAGCTACTTGGAAAATGTTGTTAGCTCACTCTAGCTAAAATGCAGCTTCACTAAAAGCTTCCCCCTGGGAAATGTAGCAAGCTAAGCTAAAAGCTACATGGCAAAAATAAAAGCTTTTTTTTTTTTTTTTTTTTTTGTCATTTTTAAATTGAAGTAACTTCAGTCAAAGTCAGTTCTGTCTTAGTGACCAAGTACCACAGCAAATTAATTCCCTATAGTATTGTTCAAAAACCCTACAGGATTTTAAATACTGTATTTCCATTAAACTACTATTAGTTTCATGTAAGTGCACATTTGCAGAACAAACAGTGAATAAATGAAAAAGCAATTCATCCCTAACAAGAGCACAGCATCAGAATTAACTTTAAGACATGTACTTCGAAGTATGCTTCTGCTTCAGAATTAATTATTTTCAGTTTTCTCACAAGTTTCTTGTGTCAGCCCAATGATTAATTGATTTGTGTTTTCAACCACCATAAAATACGAAGAATAAGAATTCTCCATTCTTGCTATTCTATGAATTTACTTTTATTAGCCAGACACTGGCTTCGCAGCTCCGGGAATGGCGGACATTACTTTATCATACGCAATCGGTAAATGTAGCTTGTGTGGATGCCATCACGCTACTTCCTTAAAATAATTCTTAATTACAATAATAAGCATCGCTACTGAAAAGCTATTTGATTTAGAATGTACTGTAGCGACGCTAACGCCACACTTCTCCCACACTACTGAAAAATGTACTTAAGCTAGTAGCGCCACATGTAGCGGTGCTACTGCCCAACACTGAAACCCTCCATATCCTTTAAAAACATGCAATATATGAATCATGAACAGAATGTGACATTAACCTTTAATAAAGCTGTGAAAATGGACAGCTTCCAAAACATCTGCTTTACAATGTCATTCACCATGTTGGCTGAAATAGTCACATGACTGCATAACATGACTAAATAGCATTATTGTTTTTAAAAGCCAACATTTTCACAGTCCAATCTGCAACACGAAAACAGCGTTTACAAATGTATCGGTTTTCAAAAAGAGGCCATCTTTGTGTGGGCGGAAGGCAATAATGGAGAGAAAAGTATGCCTTTTTAAAGGAAAACGTATCAGTGTGAATATGGCCTAAAAAAAAAAGAAAAGAAAATGACCTAGGGCCTCATGTACAAAGACTTGCATTGAATTAATACTAAAACATTGTGTACGGACAGAGCTGTAAATGTGCGTACGCTGTAAAAAAATGATGTTTGAAACAATGCGTCCGCGGAATCCCACGCATATTCTCTTTGTACATTGACATTAACATGAAACTGACCGCAACATGCATAAGCGCGAAACCCCTCCCTGCCTCCTCCCCCTAATAAATATGGTAATGACTCCACTTTGGCAAAACCAAACAAAAAAGCAATGCCAAAAGCAAGCAAAAAGAGAAACTTCACAGAAAATGAATTGGAGGTAGATTGGAGAAAAGCGGTGTTATTTGCAAGTTTGTCCTACGGAATTAATAACAAAAGAAAAAAAAAATGAGTGGGAGAGTTTAGCTGACGCGGTTAACGCAGTGGGGTCTGAACATCGCACTGTGAGTAAATTAAAAAAGAAAAAGTGTGGACCGAACCGGCGAGGGAACAGGGAATGCCGAACTAACACCCTTTGAGGAGAGAGTTGCCTCAGTTGTGGATGACACTTTACTGTCTGGAGTAGTATCCGTATCTGTGGGAGACACAGATGTGTTAGAGGAACACTTTGTTAGGGCGGTATAGCAACACCCCTCTGCTCTTATCAAGGCAGCGCCACGGGCATTTCAACTGCCCAATCGCCCGCTCTACAACTGATCGCCTGCAAGAATGGGCATCATTGTATCTGCGCTCTTGGTCAGTTTTGTAGTCTTCTGATATGCCATTAAATAATTACGCTCAATGAAATAAAATAAAATAAAAAACTTATATGGAATAATATCTTTAAATACATCACTCACCAAGAAGCCACCCATCGCGCACCCTGCCACCTTGGAGCCTCTTCACTGTCTTTTTTTTTTTTTTAAATTGGACCCAGCACAGAGCGCCTTGGAAATCTGAAATGGCTAATAAGCAGTCATTATCGTGGGCCAGAAAATCACTGTGATCCCCAAAAAATTCGTTACTTTTGGATTCGACCATTGACAATGTCCTCTAATAAAGCCAACATTTCCATTGCCATAGGGCCATAGGGTTGTATACATTTGCAAATGCTTTTATATGTTCTAAATCACATAATTGGTAAAAAAATATACATATATATATATATATATATATATATATATATATATATATATATATATATATATATATATATATATATATATATATATATATATATATATATATATAAATAAATATATATATATATATATATGTGTGTGTGTGTGTGTGTTTGTGTGTGTGTGTGTGTGTATATATATATATATATATATATATATATATATATTGTGTCAATTAACCCATTTTATCAATTATAAACTAATAGCAATGTTTTTCACATGTGTTGGTGCTATACTTTATAGAGTGCAATTTAACATAATTGCCTCTAGTAGTCGCCCATGGAAATAAAACAAACACACACAAGAAATACACGTATGCCAGACATGAAGTTGGTGCAGACCAACGCACATTCTCATGTTTCATTTATTGTTAGTAAATCCAAACCTGAGTGTAAAACCTGGCGTACGTAAAGTTTTTGTGCGTACGCAACGTTGATACATGAGGCCCCTGAACTGTCATGTCATCAAA